AGCTGTGGTCTGTGTATGACTGGAGGTACTCAAGATGATCTTAAGTGGTACCCAAATGAACTTTAGAATAGTTTTATAGTTACATTTTAATTATTTTAATATGCATTAGGAAAATGTATATATAGCATAGTGAGCTTGTAATTTCTCGTCATTGTTGCTTAGGGCAAGCAAAATAGTTTTAAAATTAAGTTGACTTAAGGAAAAATGTGAAATGAATCATTGTGTCAGTGGTGCTGGGATATGGAAACCAAGCAGGTGGTACACAAGTGATTGGAGTTAACCCCTTGCCGTCGAGTCCATTCCGACTCATAGCGACCCTATAGGACAGAGTAGAACTGCCCCATAGGGTTTCCAAGGAGTGGCTGGTGGACTCAAACTGCTGACCTTTTGGTTAGCAGCCGAAGGCTTGTTTAGTCCAAACCCCTCATTTTACTCATGAGAAAAATGAGGCTTGGGGAGGGAAGGGGACCTGCCTAAGTGATATCACAGAGTGAGGACAGGAACAAGGACTTTCCTGCCGTGCTGTGCAGTGGACTGACCAAGAAGACGCACCACTGAACTCTGTATAGGAAGAGTGGACTATTGATGTTTTCAACACAAGCCACCTCATGTCCGTCCTCGGCCTGGGACCTCCAGTGGCGCCTCACACTCAGGGTCAAAGCCAAAGGCTTTCTAATCCTGTAAATCTGCCCCGCCCCACTTCCATGGCCTCTCTGACCTCATGGCTTGCTTGCTCCCCCACTGTCATTCCATTCCAGCCACACTGGCCTCCTTGCCTTTGGCCCCTCAGCATGCTGCATGTGACGCTGCCTCAGGCCTTTTGCACGTACTCTTTCCTGTCTCTGGTATCCACACCTTGCTCCCCTGCTTCCTCCCATGGGACCTTTCCTGATCATGCTCTTTAAAATTCTAACTCCCTCTTCTGCTTCGTCTGCTAACCAAAAGGTCGGAGGTTCGAATCCACCAGGCACTCCTTGGAAACTCTATGGGGCAGTTTTACTGTGTCCCGTAGGGTCGCTAAGAGTCAGAATCAACTTGATGGCAACGGGTTTGTTTTTTTTTTTTTTTTGGCCTACCCCTCAGCCAGCTTTCCTCTCTCCTCCTTTCCTGCTTGATTCTTTTCCATAGCCATTATTCATTCCCAGACTTGTTGCCGTTGAGTTGATTCCAACTCATAGAGACCCTATAGGACAGAGTAGAACTGCCCTACAGGGTTTCCAAGGAGCGGCTGGTCGATTTGAACTGCCAACCTTTTGGTTAACAGCAGTAGCTCTGAACCACTGTGCCATCAGGACTCCAAGACTATAAATGTCCAAAAAAACAAAAAAATGTGTTTGCGAGATTGTAGTGTACGGTTGATGAGATGACAGGGAAGACTGAGTGCAGCTGGCCATCTGAGTATGTCAAGAGTCTGGGAACCAATCATGTTATGTCCAAAATCGTGTCACCAGAGTGTGTGACTGTGTGCTTCCACTGTAATGTGCTTTGTTTACGTCTCTGCTGTCAGTCTCCTCCCACTACAGGTAAGCTCCGTTAGAGCAGAGACTTTTGACTATTGCATTCACTGCTGTATCCCAGCGTCAAGAACAGGGCCTGGCACTTAGTAGGTGCTGAGTCAGTATTTGTGGAATGAATGGACGGATGTCTAGCATGTCTTTATTGTTGGCGCTCTCTCAGAAATGTACACCCTCATGTCATTGCTTCTGCAAGCTAAAGCCAGTGGAACTGGAAGGTAGTTCCTGAGCATCTTATGGAGGCCTCATTCTCATTGCCCTGAAGATACTCGTCAAAGATACCTGGGGAGTAGGATATCTGATGACATCAGACGTCCCCTGACCAAAGCGTGGCAATATTCCCTTGCACGAAACCCCTTACAGCAGTGCTTCGCGTCTGGAGTGAAAGTCCAGTGCTTGTTTTCGGCTTTTTAATTTTCAGTCCATCACGGACTGATACTTGGGTAAAATACAATCAAAATTAATTACTAGGAAATGAAATTAAAATTTTTTAAAAAGGCATAGAAAATTCAAGCCTAGCGATATGACCTCAGCTGTCATGGCAATGTCAAATTGCTGTGACAGTTTCTAAATTCTTACTCTTCAGGTTCTATACTTACTGCATCATGAGCTGTGATAGTCCCTGGACCACACGGTGGGCATCACTGACTTACAGGACGGAACCCCTAATGGCGGGTTTGCCATATTCTCTTCTCTTCCTCATGTATTAGAATTTTATGATTCAACCATTTCTGCAAACAAAAGGGGAGGGAATAGCTTGACTTTGTTTTCTTTCCTATTTGTTCGTTCAGCAGGTATTTACTGAGCACCTACTGTGTGCCAGGCAGGGAGCCAAGTATGGGGATAGCACAGTGGACAAGGCAGACCCAATGCCTCCCCGCTGCCCCTGGAGCTCTCATTGTTAAACAGGGAACTGTGATGACTGCCAGGAAGGAGGAGAACTGGCTGCTGTGGAGGGAGTAATTGAGGGACTGACTTTTTGGGGAAGCAACATGGAAGCTGAGAAATCGAGGATAAGAAGGCGTCAGCCTGGCAAAGAGGAGAGAGGTGTACGTTCCAGGCAGAGGGAACAGCCTGTGCAAAGGCCCTGAGTCTGAAGACAGGTTTCTGCAGTCTGTATCTGTTTAAAAATGAAAAGTGTGCCTGCCCGTTGATGCAGCAGTTCCACTTCTCATCTCCAACCTAGATAAACAATTCAAGTGTTGCAAGAGGAAGCATGTCCACTTCCTCCCTGGTTGTGATGGCAAAAAAATTGGAATCAGCCTAGAGGCCCATGATGAGGGGACTGACTGAATAAGCTGTGATAGTCCATACTTTGGATTTCTACCCAGCCATTAAAATGAAAGAGTGGCTGGAGCACATGGTTTGAGCAGAGCACAGGGAGGCCGTGGGGTGGGAGCGGTGGGCAGAACCTACGTAGGGCCTTGAGGGATCACAGTAAGGAGTTTAGATTTTATTCTAGGTGCACGGAGAGAGACTGTACCTAGTGCACCAATAAACTATTCCTAGAAAACTGAGCAAGATAAGGTGCCACGGAAATATTGCTCGTTGGTATCACCGTCATTGCTACCAAAGTGTTGCACCGCCTACTGCATAAAATCACTCACGTTCATTACTGAGAGGCATCAAGATAAGAAAGGAAAACTTTGACTTCAGAGTTATCTGCTGATTGTGAGGCCCTGATTAAGAGGCTGACTTTCTGAACCTCAGTTTCCACATCTTTAAAATGGGGGTAATAATGCCTGTTTGGTGGCATGGTTGTGAGAATGAAAGAGATGTCTGTTTTTAAGTAGCTTGCTCTGCAGAGTCTTATATGTTTGTTCCTTCCCCTTCCTTTATTCTCCTGACAACCCTGCTGGTGAGTATCAGCATCTCATTTCATAAGGGGGTGAGTGGGGTGGGGATTTCTGAGCTCAGGCTGGAGGAGAAATGGTTCTTAAGTTGACTGGGTGAGAAGGAGGGAAACCGAAATTACAAAACCATCCCCAGGACTCAGAAGGTTCTTAAAAGGAATGCAGTTTTAAACAACAACGAAATACTATTTTGCGCCTGTAAGATAGACAGAGGTAAGCAATGTTTGGTAATGCATTTGGTGTAAGGGTGTGGGGAATCAGACATTCACTGATCGTTGGGAGAGGATGTCCATCTATCCTCTAGAAAGGGCCATTTAACAACATCTCTGAGAGTTAACCATGCTCCTATTCTTGGACCCGGCAATTCCAAACACGGGGAATTTACACAACAGGTATGCTTGTACATGCACACAAAAATAGATAGATACATACATACGTGGATGGATGATACATGTATATGTATGTATATAGAGAGAGAGAGAGACTATAAACCAAGCTGAAGCAAATATGTGTATAAGAATATATGTATATATATTTTCTCTGTACACATATATATTTATATACACATATAAATATATACATTATTGCTGCAGCTTAATTTATAGCCATAAAATCTAAGAACCACCCAAATCCATGAATAGGAGACTACTTAAATGATAGGGCAGCTATACAGTGGAATGAGGAAGAACTGTATGAGCCAATGGAGAATGATCGTTACAATATATTGTGAAGTAATAGAAGAAAGAGAAAAATGCAGAACAGCATTTGTAGAATACTCCCATTTATTTTTTAAAAGAGAATATTGTTGTTGTTGTGTGCCATTGAGTCAGTTATTACTCATGGTGGCTCCACGGGACAGAGTAGAACTGCCTCATAGGGTTTTCTAGGCTGTGATCTTTATGAGAGCAGATCACCAGGTCTTTCTCCTGTGGAGCCACTGGGTGGGTTCAAACCACCAACCTTCCAGTTAGCAGCCAAGCTCTTAATGGCTCAGCCACCAGGGCTCCTTAGAACAGGGAATATATGGAGATATAGATCATATACATCTGTATTATCACATAAGCTTGCATATGTACAGAACATGCCTGGAAGTGAACCCAGGAAACTTAAAGTGGTTGCCGGTGGGAACAGTAGCTGTGTTGTTGGGGTCAAGAATGGGGAGAGACACTTTTTGCTCTGCGATTTTGTACTGTTTGAATTTTCTACAGTGTGCTTATTACATTTTCAATAAAAATAGAATTTATGGGCAAACAATGCTGGGTCAGCCTTCCTCCCTCAATATAATCAGAAAAAAAATAGCACCTTAAAATCGGCCTCGGTGTCGCAGAGGCAGTGCAGCCTGCCATCATATGGTATGGCTAGACCATCCTCTTGCTCAAGAGAAGCCATAAATCCAGACTTTTTGGAGTCATATCTCCAGATTTTTAAACAAAAGCAACTAATTCAAATTTGCTTTAAAAATGCACGCAACAAAACATGTCTGTGGCCTAATCTTGGCTCACAAGCCGTCAGTTCGCACCTCTAGTTTGGAAGCTGATAAAATAGCGTGCTGTCTTAACTCAGTAGCTGTTTTGCAGGTGACAGGGAAGCATCCTAATCATGTGCCCTTGGTGCTTCTTTTTCCTTCTTCAAGGCATCAAGACAGAAGACAGCTTGAACCATTCCCCAGGCCAGAGTGGATTCCTCAGCTACGGCTCCAGCTTCAGCACCCCACCCGCTGGACAGAGCCCGTACACCTACCAGATGCACGGTCAGTCTGGCGTTGCGGCCCCTCCCTGCCATCTCCAAAGCACCCCCTAAGTTGGGTGTCGTTCATTCATTCATTCATTCCTTTATTCAGCAGATTTGTGGAGCACCTACTACGTGCCAGGCTCTATCCTAATTAGTCGAGTTGCAGTGGTGGACAAATAGTGAATCTGCCCTCATGGCAATTACCAGGCAGTGGGGTGAGACTGACAATTAACAAGTCAATAAATAAATGGGATCCTTTTGCATGGCATTGCGTTCATGAAGCACATAAGCATGGGGTTTGGATAGAGAGTGATGAGAAGTTGTGGGGTGGGTCAGAAGAGGTGGGATGTGTAACTTTAAATTGAGTTGTCAGGGAAACCTCTTTGAAGAGATGGCATTGGAACAAAGACCCAAAGGGTGAGGTGGAGCCAGCCCTGCAGACCTGGAGAAAGAGCCTTTCAGGCAGAGGGAAGAGCCAGTGCAAATGCTGTATGGAGGAAAATGCCTTGTGTTCGAGGTAGAGGATGGAAGCAAGGCTGGGCCAAGGCAGAGGGGACATGGCAAGAGAGTCTTGCAGAGGTAGCAGAGCCAAATCACACAGGGCCTCGGGGGCATTGGGAATGAGTTGGCTTTTATTTGAAGTGTGATGGGACAGGCAAGTCCATCGTGGAGACTTGAGAAATGCCAGGTAGTGGGACTAATGGATGGGCGGGTGAAGGAGTTTGTTTTAGGCTGGGTTCTCTAGAGAAGCAAAACCAGTGATGCATGTATATAAATATAGAGAGATTTACTTCAGAGAAATGGTTCACACAGTTATGGGGGCTGGCAAGTCCCAAATCCGTGGGTCAGGCAGCAGGCAGGCTGCTGGCTCACAGGTCGCAGGAGCTGGTGAATCCAAAATCTGCAGGTCCAGCGACAGGCTGCAGGCTTCTCACGTCCCAAGAGCCAGAGGTCAGACAGGACGAGTGCAGAGGTCAGACAGGACGAGAAAGCTTTGCCCAAACATCCATTTATCTATTGGATGCAGGCCACGCCCCCCAAGAAAGCTCCCCTTCCAACTGATTGGCTGCTTACATCAGATCACAAAATGGAGGACGATATATAGTGTCTGCCAAACCAGTGAGGATCATGGCCTAGCCAAGTTGACACAACATTAGCCATCACAGCGCTGTTGTTCCAGGCAGGAGGTTCAGGGCTCTGCATCCTTCTAGGGTGGCCTTAAGAAAGGGGAGAAAGAACTCCAGTGTGGACCCTCCCACCCCATGGAACTGGCTCACTGGAGTCTCTTGTGCCCACCTCCACCCTTTCGCCGTCCAGGAGCTCCTGCCTTATTCTTTGCCTCTTCAGGAACACTTGGGGGTTGATTCATGGAGCAGAGGGCTAGTGGCAGTGACTTTGAGGATCCCCATCCTGGTATTTTTTTCCTTCCTGCAAGTCGGTTACAAACGACCGTCAAGGATCTGAAAAGTAATATGCAAAAAAATAAATGTGATAATGAGTAGTTTTACTGTTCTTTAAAATAACTGTTTGCGAGTATTGCCATTTCATTATTGTGTTTAAATTTTTGTTGAAGAAACAATAAAAATGGGTGTCAGGGGCAGCCTTTCAAGGAAGGAAAAACTGTGAAGGGACAGCCAATGATCTTAGGGGTACATGTAGAGAAAGGGGGTGGTGAGCATTAATGTCCAGCCCTGGCATCGCCCCCAGGCCAAGGTCTGCATCACAGTGTGTTGGTGATATTACCAGCTGACATTGACCCAGCACTTACTACGTGCCAGGTGATATATGGATCATCTCATAGACTCTTTACAACACCCCAGTGTGGGTGCTGATATTATATCCATTTTACAGAAGAAGAAACTGTGGCATAGAGGGAATGACTGACTTGCCCAATGTCAGGGCAAGGAGTTTATAGTTTACTGTAAGTGCAGAGAAACAGACTGAGTCTGTTGGGTGTCTGCTGGAATCCCAACTTGCAGCCTCACTGCAAAGCCCGTGTGCTTGGCCACAGTCCTCTCCTGCCTCCTCTGCTGCTGCTGTCCCTTCTCTCCCTGACAGTGGCCTTTCTGAGTCCCACTGGAGGGTATAAGCTGCTGGGATTCATCTCTAAGTGGGGAGTGAATTATGGCAGCAAACCCCAAAGTGAAGGCCTGTGAAGACTCAGAACTTGAACTTGCATTTGGGTCAATCTCAAGCCAGTTTGTTTTTTAGTTTTGCAAACAGAAACTGGACTTCCTGCCTCAGGGCTTCTAAGGCTACAGAGGTTCACCAGCCAACACAGTCCACCCTTCCCCATTCTGACATACCCTCTGGCTGCATCTTAAGTAACTTAAAAGTTATGTAGGAGCGGCTTACCGTTCATTCATTCATTCTGCGATATTGAGCACCAGATTTGTGCCAGGCACTCCCTTAGGCACCAGAGGGCACAGCAGTCAACCACGATGACTCCCTCGTACAGAGAGACAGGCAGTGATCTTTCAGTCAGTAAATAAATAGAGAATTGCAAATTTTGGTAAAGCCTGTGAAGGACAAAAGCAGGGTGATGTGATGGACAATGGCTAGAAGAGAGGAGATCCACCTTAACCAGCTGATTAGGGAGACCTGAGTTGTGGAAAGAAGTCAGCCACGCAAACAGCTGGGAGAGGGCAGTCTAGGCGAACGGAAGAGCAAGAGCAAAGGCCTTGAGGCAGGAAAAAGCTCACAGCATTGAAGAAGTCCAAAGAGGACATGAGACCAGAAAGCGAAGCAGGAGCCTTCCCTGGACCCAGAGTTGTAGGATATGTGGAACAATGTTTCCCCTCCGGTCCTCACAGTAGTCATGTGAGGTGGGTACCATTAGCCTTGTTTGGTCGTTGATGAAAGTGAGCCTCAAAGATGGAAGAGACTTGCCCGAGATCACAGAGCCAGATAGTGTCAAGAACTGGAGTTCAGATGCAGGTTTCTGGAATTCTGGAGGCTATGCTGTTTACTCTAAGTGCTAACATTTCTTGGACTCCTTCAGGATGCCTGGCACCATTCTAAGCTCTGCACACGCACTGTTTTTCTTAATCTTCCCAATAGTCCTATGGCATAGGTTCTGTTACTTCTCCCCATTTTACAGGTGGGGAAGCTGAGGCACAAATTGGGTAAGTAACTTGCCTAGGGTCCCATGGCTGTGGTAGTGGAATTTGAAGCCAGGCAGTTGCACTCCAAAGCCTAGCATGTAACCCCTCCATGCTTTAATAGAACCATCTAGAAAACAATTCTCCAGGAGGTGAGCCCTGGCCTAGGATATGCCCCCCAACCTCGGCCCTTACCCAACCCCTTGCAAATCTGAAAAAGTCTCCTGCTGTGTTCCACCAGACCAGGGGAATAATCCAGGGTGTGTTCTTATCGTCCTCATGGCCCAGATGCCAGAAGGGCTATGGCAGCAGCTGGGCCTTGTCCCAATGAACTGCCTTCAGGTTAATGCTGATGGCCGTAAACTGCCTTGGAGACACCCCAGGCATTTTGCAAGCCTGACATGTTCCTCCTTAAGTATTTTTTTTAAAAAAAAACACAGACACACAGAACACTCACACACCATGCCCATGTGCTTCCTATTAACTTTTTTCTTTCCCCCAAGTTGTTCCAGAGGAGAAATAAACTCTCAAACTACTCGGAGCATTTCAGGTGGAAGATGTTGGTTGAGCTTAGTTTTCAGCAGAAGAAGGGAATGAAGAGGAAGATGGTGGCTGAGTTCTAGACTTGAAAGTACGGACTTAGAGTGAAATCAGCCCATGTTTAGGAGCTAGGATGAGTCTTTTTTTTTTTTTTTTTCCTCTCTCTAAAAATTTAAAAATCACCTATTTGTCAGAGTAAAAAGGACCTAAGAATGGCCCAGCCCATCATTTTACAGATGAGTAAACTGAGGCACTGCAACAGAAAAGCTTGCAAATGGTCACAGAGGAAGCATTTGATAAGCCAGAATGCCACCCCCTGCCCCTTCCCCCTGGGTCTTCTTGCTAATGGCATAAACTCCCCAAACCTCTGCAGAGCCATCGTTCCGCAAGGCCTTGGTCTGAGATCTGGATCTGTCTGGATAACACTGCCCCACCGCTGAATGTACAATGAACGTAAAAGAGAAAAGTTCACAGCACTTGTTCAGCCTTTGCACAGTCGTTTATTTTCTGTTGTTTAAGTTCGCTCGGGTTTTTGTAGCTGACGTGTATTTCTTATGGGTTTGATTTGGTTTTGTTTTTTGTTTTTGGCCTCTCCTGCTGAAACAATGCTCTTCACAGAAATGACCAGAAAGATTAAAAAGGGAAGAAAAAAATAATCTTGAGAGTGGGTTAAGAGCTGTGGGCCTGGGCTGTGGTCAGTCCTGGCGCTGCCCCATGCATGACAGCGTGACCTTGGATGAGGCGCTTGACTTCTCTGTGCCTCGCTTTCCCCACCTGTGAAACTGGCATTATAGCAAGAGAGACCACCTCGTTGGGTTGTTGGGAGACTGCATGGAATGGTCTGTGGGCATGTTAGATATGATCCCGAAAGGCTGGATTTTTTTAAATTATTTTTATTGCTATTAATACCTACCTGTTATTTTTTATTATTCCTGTTAATAACTACCTGTTAGTCCAGCATGGTAGTTAAAACCTGAGCCTCTGAAGCCAGGGTGAGTTAACATCCCAATTCTGCCTACCACTAGTTGTGCGGCCTTGAGCCCAGTACTTCTCAGTACCTTGGTTTCTTCCCCTATAAAATGGAGATATTAATGGCACCTACCTCACAGGGAGCTTTGAGAATTAAATGGGATAATATTTGTGAGTATTCTGAGCAGTGCCTAACACTAAGTACTTTATCATGATAATTTCAGGTTTGATGGTCTGTGTTTTTTTCCAAGTTCACATCTATTTAGTAAGTGGCCATGTTAAGACAGGAGAACACCAATCTCAGACTGTGGAGCCATCTGCTTCAGCATAGACTACTCTTCTGGTGAATCTGTATCATAGGGGGGCTTATGAAAATAGGGGAGTCCCTGGGTGGTACAAACGGTTAATA